TGCCGTTCGTCTGCGGCGGCCCCGCCTGGGGGGCCGCCAGGCTCCCGTCACCTGCACCGATGCCGGGGCTACCGGCGCTTCCCCCCGAGGCCGGGAGGTGGCGATGCTCCCCCGGCGGCGGGCTGCGAACGGGCGGGGGAGGCCGAGGACCGGCCCAGGTGGGCGGGCCCTGATTATGTGGAAGGCTCCTCCCGGCCCTGCCTGGTCCCCAGGCGGCGCTGGTTTGGGACTTACCCTCCACCCCCTGGCAGTTTTGGGACTTGTCGCCTGGCAATGCTCGCACTGGGAGCTGGAGGTGGAACGTTAAAATGGGTACAACCCCTTCCACCAAGCGGCTCCATCCCAGACCCTCCCCGGAGCAGGCGGACGAAAAGCTTTATGCTGCTCACATCCAGTTTCTGAGTAGAGACCCCGGTTTCTGGGAGTGAGGGATGTAGAACTGCATCTCCCCTCGCTGTACCTGCCCAGGGCTGGAGCCTTCTGCCAGCCCCAGCACCCTGTCACCCTACGGGACAGCCCCTGCCACCCTGTGGGCCAGCTTTCCGACTTACAGTCCCTGCTCTCATTTGGGTCTGTGCTTTGTTCTCTTCCCTGGCCTTAAAAAATACCAATTTGTTCTTGTGAAGTGTAAAAAAACCCAAACCAAAACACAAAACCAACCAAAACAAACCCCCCTTCCAAAAAAAACCCAAACAAAAACCCAAATAAAACAAAACCTGCAAATGGAAAGGGCCCCACTGTAGTATCTGTTGGTTTGGTTTGGTTTTTCCTTTTCCCGCATGGTTTTAAGTCCATGGAAATGATCATGCTCTGTTCCTGCAAGCAGCATGAGATGTCCACCCAGGGGACGAGCCCAGTCATGCTCAGATCCCTGCTTCATCCACCCCCCTGATGGGGCTGGGGACACAGGTCTGCCATCTCCTGCATCTTCAGCCCCTGACCCACCACCAGTGATGCTCTCCAGTGAGGCACTGGAGTGCAGCAAGGAAGGCATCATGTGGGGATGTACTGCTCCGAGAGATGCCCCAGGGGCTGGTGTTACTTTTATACTGGCAGGTTTTCTC